CCACATTGCTGACATGACATCCGAGGGCTCATATTTTACAAATTTTGAAATCTCTAAATTTAGTGGTTGAAATCTCCAATAAATTTAGAGATTTCAAAATGTGTAAAATATGGGCCCTTGTTAATATATGTCGAATATCTAGGAAAACTTCTACCTCTAGGAAAACATCTATCCACCAATAAATTTAGGAAAAATTTAATTTTTCATGGACTTATATATTTATACCCTCAGGGGTATAATTATAGGTTTCCTTTTCCTCCTATTATTCGGTATTTTGGCGGTTTTGATATTTTAGGTTTTTGTTGCGTATCAAATCTTCCTACCAAAAGTTAACCTGACATAGCTCTATATAAAAGTCCCGATCATTTTAAGGAATGCTTACTTTGGTTACATAAAAAGTGGACTTTTACATGTAAAGCCACCGATTTTTATAATAATTTAGTACAAAGAAACAAGTTTTATATTCAAAATTTCAAACTTTCCAAAAAAATTATGGGTCAAGGTATAATTTCAGTGAATTAAAAATAAGGTTGATGGTAATCTTCATATATGCATGTCGGTACAATTTAGGTTCAATAGTTTACAATACATATTTCACATAACATATTTCGCATAACTAACGCATTACCATGGGACACCATTTCGGCCCCATTTGAAATGACCTTCTTTCACAAAAATGTTACAACGGCATTACAATTCAGTTTAGCGCCATACGAGTACAAGCATATGTGGAGGGCTACTTGGACATTTACATTTTCTTGTTTGGTTCGGTTGTTTTTTTTTGTTTTGTTTTTGTTTTATTAATATTGCCACTACAACAACAACTAGTACTACAACAAATTCAAACCACGCATAATTAATATTTAAATAGAAAATGATTAAAAATGGAAAATGAACATGAAAGAACTGTTTTCCTCACGTATGGCGTTTGCATGACAGCACCACTCTTTTGCAAACAACAAAAACAACAACATTACCAACAGCCGCAAATTATAACTACAACAAAATAATAATAATAATTTATAACAACAAAAAAACAGCAACAACTACAATAATTGCATGCATGAGTCATTAAAGCTGAAAATGGAACGACAAAACAGCCTTTAAAACTCAAAAAAAAAAAAAAAAAAAAAATCGAAACTAGAACGCAATTAGATTTAAACTATTTTTGTTTTGTTGATTTCCTCTCAAATCTCAAATGGACAAAATTTAGTTGAAAACAAATCACTTTTAGTCAAAAACTAGGACTACTTAAATGCACATTCTCTTAGTTTCCGAAGTTTCTAACTACACGCACACATTCCAACATATCGAAGAACCCGCAACTCATCATACTCTTCTACACACATCAGATGTGTCCATCATCAGAGTTTTTTTTTTTTTGACAATAATCGCCAAAGTTCATTTTCCATTAAACACACAGCCACAATCACACTCACACATATACATATAAATCTAAAAAATAACATCATATCTATCTTTAAATTGAAACCTGAAGGTTGTAAGGCTGCTGGCAAGGTGAATCCATTTCAAGGGATTTTACGAGCCAAGCTATTACAACCCAAACTCTATATGAAAATCTGTATACGTTTCCCCCTCCCACTTTTCTCCAAACTGTCTCTTCTGATGCTATGGTCTGTCAAACTCGCCCTGATAGGTGTCTTTGTTAGTGTTACACATTTTCCTGCTCCTCAAATTGAAGTCCTCAAAGAAGAGGAAATTCCTACATTTGGGCCATTCGCATTCTACAGCTGTTGTTTTTCTTTTAGATTTGTTTCTTTTTTGTAAGCGCACCACCTTTTATCGTTATCATTTATTATAGCTATGTGTATATTCGTATAAACTTACTCGTGTCTCTCGTGTCGTGTGTACATGTGTATCCTGTGATTGCGTTTGCCATTTGCCATCACTCAATTTAAATCCAAGCTGATCATGATCGTTTTTATGTTGGATTACATTACATTTTCTGTTCTGCCACACTCACTCTGCTGCACTCTTAAAATATCGTTTCACAATGAGCACCACTGAAAATACACACCGATAAGAAATAATCTTTAATTAATATTATAACTTTATTTATTACACTTTTCTCTTGTACGATATTTTATTACTTTTTTTAAATTAATATTTGCAATTTTTTTAAATATTTGAGATAATGGTTTGTACAGAAGAATTGGGTTGATTGAAAATGGACCATAATATTACAATTAGAACAAAATATATTTAAAAGCAGTAAATAAGACTACAAAGGTACGACAAAAGACCTATACACTCAGTGTATTCAATACTACACAAGTGTTAAAGATAACTGGACCGATTTTGAATCAAACATAACACATTTTATTCTATTTCATCAAAATAAACGACATGAGGATCTATACCTTCTTTCATATATAGTATATTGCACATCTAACTTCGATATTTGTACAACTTCACGTAAGTACTTTTAAATTGCAAAAGGACAGTTTTTCAATTCAACGAAGATATAGAATACATTAGCCAAACTATATATAGGAGCTATAACAACATCAGAACCGAATTCACCAATGTAAAATTTTGGGTTGATCGGACATTAACATGGAATCTGAAACGATTCACACCAATTTTTATAGAGTTATGAATTACAACTTCTTATACGTATTTCGAATTTGGGTATTTCGAATACAAACAATCTCAAAACGTCGTTATGTTCGGTTGGAACGATTTTTTATGCCTTCCACCATGACCTTCACCCAGAGCTCCGATTTGCTCGATTTTACTCGCGAGTGAAAAATACTCCCGAGCGGGAGTAAGTAAAGAGTACGATTTTTTTAGGGAGTATACTCTCCACTCTTTTATTTTGTTTGGAAGTGCTCGCGAGTACTCCTTGTTGAAGAAAAAGAGTGTGAGAGAAAACGTTCGAAATAGAGTAAGAGTTCACTCTAAGAGTGAAATCGAGTGGACAAATAAATTTGGTTGTTTGGTTATTTGTGTGTGTGTGTGTGTAGTACCATTTTTTTTTTTTTTTTTGATGTTGATCTTTTGTTTGCTGTGGGGAGATAGATCATTACAAAAATGAAATGACTTACATAAAGAGAACGCAGAAAACGAGCTTGTTGATGCATGCTTTCCCAGCAGTACTGCAAACCAAACATCACAAAGCAAACAAACAATGCACACAAACAACATCAAGTAAAACAACGGTATCACAAAAAAAAAAAAAAAATTATAATAAAAGAGTACTCGGCAAGAGTGTAATCTGCTCGATTTCGAGCGTATTTCACTCCCACTCGAAAACGAGCGCAGCACCTCCGCTCTTATTTGAGTGGCAGAGAAAAATAGAGTAAACTCTATTTACTTTTTCTACTCGCAGGAGTACTCCCGCTCGAATTCGAGCGAGTTTCACTCTTTATTCGAATTCGAGCGAGCATTTCGGAGCTCTGCCTTCACCATAACGAACGTCATATATTCGATATATTCCATTCATATATGGGGTCTCTGACGAATGTTTAGATGTTTTGCAAACGAAATTAAATACTAGTAAATATTTCAACCAAATTTAAGAACACAAGACAAAATGACGTTCTCTTTGTAAACTTTTTACTCGAGAGATTTGGGAGAGTAAAAATGGTAAACAGAAATGTCAACTTCTGATTGGCTGTTGTGTAATTTTGAAATATTTACTAGATTTCCGTTTCCGAGCTTTTCGAATTATTTTGCACTCTGAGAGTGATTTTGACATCATTCCCTTTACTATTAAAAAAAACACTGGAACAGAACATATTTTCTTACTGGGAACCAAATTATCATAATTAAGATAACATAAGGGGAGTTGTTTCGTTTTGCTGACCAATTATTAAACAGTAATTAGCAGCAATTATTAAACAGTAAATTATCATATAAATAACATAGTACAATTACATTGTACCGGATTATGTTAACCCAGTGGCTTTTAATTGTCAATTCCCTTACATAGTTGTCAAATAAATCCTCATATAGAAGATTAACAAAGTTCTAATGAACATGGCATTTAAGGGAGAACAAATAAAGTTATTAATTTTTAACACTTCAGAATTACTATTCCAAATTTGAATTACAAACCATTATCACAAAATTCTTGCATATCCTTCTTCGTCCTTTTCTAATTAATATTTTTTCCAATACATTTATACTACTTTTTGATTTTTATTTTGTCATAGTTTTTCTCTTCTTTATCAGTTTCTTCTACATTAACAATGATAATAATATTTTTTTATTATTATAATTAATAATAATAACAAAGATAATTATATACATATAAATATTATGTAAACTGCACCAAAATAGTTTTATTTCCAAACTGCAAGTACCGAACGGTACACTCTTGAACTATTATTGAGATAAATTTGAATTAATCTTGATAAGAGATTTGCTTGAAATATTAATTTATATTTTTTTTTGGTCAAATAATAAATAATGAATAACGAAAATATATAGAAATTTATGTGATACCAACAATAACATATCATTACATACATATTGATATTGCTATATTATTGCTATACTAATTAATACCAAATATATATTTGTATATGTGATTGATTGACTAATTAACCTCCATTGCAAAAACATATTTAAATAATCCCCAGCTCCCCACTCCCAAATGCCTCCTCCCAATTGATTGTTAATGTGCTTATTGTAATGTGTAAATTGACAACAACAAAAAATATATAATCTGCAAACTCACCTCTTCACCCCACCCACCAAAAGAACTAAACAAAAAATCGAAATTAAATTATTAACCCCTAACAATGTAATAATAATTAGCAGCATCTGTTGTTATTATGTACCGTCTAGTGGTGCATAGTAGCAGTTGTGCAAATATTTGTATGTATGTATGTATGAAGATAATATTATATATATATAATGTATGAAGAAGGCGTTAGGTGTTCCGATTCGAATTAAAACGAACATTTTGTATATAAACTGCCCACTTCATCTCGTCACTGTAAATGTATTCCCCCCTGTCCTTCCATATCTAGCGGAGACCATACTGGGACGTCACAGTACAATTGAAATTCGCTCCATACATTTGGGCGGTCTATTCCATGCCGAAGAAGAAATACAAATGACCTCAACAATGCCGAATTTTGTCGGACAAATGCAGGGATTCATATTCAATGGACAAAGGTGAGATGGGTTCTAGTTTTTCCCTTAAAGATTACGAAATTTGATATCCCGACAATATATGGAATATTATGAATACAAATAAATTACATGTTTAGTTTTTTTTTTTTTTAATTGCTAATTCATTTTATTTTTCTTGTTTCACACTCTCCTTTAGATACATCGATATTGTTAAAAGTCTAGGCCCCGAACTTTCGGCATTACCTAGCGCCACCTTTAAACTAACTGCCCGTTTTGTCAACTCCCCACCAGGAAATCCATATCATGCAGCCACATTCCGTTCGAAACATTCGTATGTGGGCCTGCCAATGCTGAAAGCATATTCAACCATATCAGTCGATTTCCGTTTTAAGACGGTCGAACCGAACGGCCTGCTGCTATACAATGGCGGGCGACGCAACGATTTCGTTGCCGTCGAACTGGTCAATGGTCACATTCACTATACGTTCGATTTGGGCGATGGCCCGATAACGATGCGCGACAAGAGCCGCCTCCATATGAACGACAATCGTTGGCATCAAGTCAGCATCCGACGACCTGGTCCGAAGACGCATACATTGGCCGTGGACGACTCCTTTGAAATTATAACGCTCTCGGGCAATAGTATGCACCTGGAGTTGTCGGGTATTCTGTATATAGGTGGTGTATTCAAGGATATGTATTCGAAATTGCCGGCCACAATATCGTCGCGTTCCGGCTTTGAGGGTTGTATTTCTTCACTCGATTTGGGCGACACATCACCATCACTGACAAATGACGCTGTAGTACCAAGCTCGCTTGTTGTGTCCGGTTGCGAGGGCCCAACAAAATGTAGCCAAAATGCATGTGCGAACAGAGGCGTTTGTGTGCAGCAGTGGAATGCGTACGCCTGCGAGTGTGATATGACATCGTATACAGGACCAACGTGCTATGACGGTAAGTGGCCGTAGCTGCCGAGTTCTATACCTTCGGAGAGTACACGATGACATTATGTGTGGGTGTGTTTGTGTGTGTGTATTGTTTTTCTTTTCAGAGTCAATTGCCTATGAGTTTGGCAACAACAAGGGCATCATACAATACACATTCCCCGAAAATGCTCAAGCTGATACCGAAGAGGATAACATTGCCCTAGGTTTTATAACAACCAAATCGGATGCGGTGTTGCTGCGCATTGAGAGTGCCACCACCCAAGACTACATGGAACTGGAAATAGTCGAAGGCAATATATTTATGTGTTACAATGTCGGCACCCGTGACCTGCCACTGGGTGAGATCGGAACCAAAGTCAATGACAATACCTACCATGTGGTGAGATTCAGCCGAAAAGGAGGTAATGCCACACTTCAACTGGACGATTACAATGTCCAGACACTAACGCCACTAGGTAAGTAGAATGGTGAGCCCATTATTTACCGATCTGATAATCTGGATTATGTTCTTCTTGTAGTCCACCAGTCAACCGTATTTAATACCATGTCGAACATACAAGTCGGAGGCAAGTTCAGCCGTTCGGGCCGGTCGCGCATCGAACGTCCGTTTGCCGGCGTCATAGCAGGCCTCTCGGTGAACAAGTTACGTGTACTGGATCTGGCAGTGGAGCGTGACAGCCACATAACCATACGAGGAGATGTTCAATTGGTAACTGGAGTATTAGATAGAAATGATCTGCAAAGAATGCAGCAGGTTAGGGATTTTATTTTTAAATAATTTGAAATCTCTCTTCAAACTTTTTCAAGTATTTTTCTCATCGTAAAAATTCGATTCGATTTTTGCTCTGTCGTATTTGAAATTCTTTCTTCAATTCAAATTCAATCAATCCAATTAATTATGTTTCTTTTTGATCGCTCAAATCTGTATATCATTATCGTATCAGTGTGTGTGTTCGGTTGATTGGTTGAGGCTGGTTGGGTTTGTTTCGACAGTTTAGTGGCTAGTCACATTGAAGTGATGTCGAATGGTAATGAATGATGTGCGAAACGAATTCGACCACTCTCTTTGCAATCACCCGAATTCGTTTGTGTCTTTCCATATCAAAAACAAAAAAAGAAAAAAAATTAAACTTCAAAATAACCTAACTTAGTCTTGAATTCAGTGTAAATTGTGTAATTTCTTTGTGCCTCCTCCTTTCTTTATCAGAAAATACCAAAAAAAAAAAAAAACAATTATTCATTTCCATTTTGTGTTTCCATTTTGCGTGTGTACTTTGATGGATATTTCACGTTGAAGTTACATTGAAATAATATCGGAAAGTTTTAATTGCCCATTAGATTAAATGAAAACAGGGCCATGACCTTGGAAGTATCCATCAAATTACGACTGCTTATTGCCTAGCATCAAATTAATCAATTTACTCCAGTCTAATTATATTAATTAACCAAATGCACTGTGCACTAATTTGTCTGATATCTATTTATTTTTTTTAATTTTTACGATCACTTTACGATAAAGAATATCAATTATCTCCAAACTACTGCTTGTAATGCAGATATGATAATCACAGTAATGATAATTCAGTCTCTTAATCAACATTTCCCTTGCCTACTCCTGATTTTGGATATATATTTTTCTTCTTCTTTTTTTGGAAATTATTATTTTTTTCGTTTATTTAGTTTTTTTTTCTCTCAGAGATGCACTTAGTAATATAATAATATAAGCACATTTTCTTAATAAATAAAATATTTATTATAATAACACATAACATATGCATGCACTACTACAAACATACATTACGCGGGTGATATGGATGGAGATGCATGAAGCAATGGACACAGTGTACATAAATACATTAGCGAACAAATGAGGTCTTCATACAAATATTTTTGGGGTGACTTTAAATGTCAAATCCGAAAAATTAATTCTTACATTTTTATTATTTGTGTCTCCTTTGTAAAACAAAAAAAAAAAAATGCTCTCAGAGAGTAAGCAAGAGTAAGGAAAAATAGCAATAATGTCAAAACTAAATGGCAATCCTTCAAAAACAGCACAACATAACAGCCAATCAAAAATTTGCCAGGAATAATTAACATTTTTACTCTCCAAATTTCCCGAGTAAAAAGTTTACAAAGAGAGCGCCAGGTTGATTGGTATTCTCTTAAATTTGTTTTAATGTTTTACTACACCTTTTTCAAATGTTATTCAAAACATTTCAAGTGCAATTCGAGAATTTTATTAGTAATTCGAAACCCCTATTTGCAATTCATAACATTTCAGTTATAATTCAAATCCCCAATTTGCAATTCATAACATTTCAGTTATAATTCGAAAATATAATTGGTAATTCGCAACATATAATTTGTAATTTTAAACTTTTCATATTTAATTCGAAAAATTACATCTGAAATTTAAAGAATTCCATTTGTGATTTGTATATTTCCATTCGAAATTCAAAGAAATCCATTTAAAATTCAAAGAATTCAATTTGAAATTCGTAACATTTCACTTGTAATTCATAAAATTTCAGTTGCAATTCGTAAGAATTAATTTCAATTTCATACATATTCTTTGTGTATTACCGATTATTTTTTTTTCGAATTTAAAATTAAATGTTATGAATAACAAATGAATAATAATGTATTTCAAATGAAAGGCTATGAATTTCAAATTGAATTATTTGAATTTCATAAGGAATTTAATTAATTTAAAATGGAATTTTATTTATGATTTTCAAATGCAATCTTTTGAATTTCGAATAGAAGTATATGCATTTTAACTGTAATTCTATGAATTTCGAGAAGTATTCTATGAATTACAAATGAAATTCTCGAATTGCAAATTATATGTTGTGAATTACGAATGGAATTCTCGAATTGCATTTGATATATTTTAAATAACATGTGAAAAATGTGTAGTTTTTTGGGTACGGAAAGGGGTTTCAAGTAAAAATTTGGAAAACTTATAAAAGTAGTAGATTCCTTGAGGTTCTGTTTCGGACTTCATATAAAATAAGCAAAACGACTAGAAAAAAATATACATCAATAATGTATTTGATCCCCGAAATATTAATCGATGTGCCATCTATGAGTAGAATTGCTGCCTGCACTTTGAAAATTTGTGTTCTGGTACCAACATTTCGTGGTACTACAGACCCTTGGGCCCTACTATACTATGACCACATATTTTATAGTAGAAATCATACAAAATGAAAACGTGTGGCTCATCAACATTATGTATAAGAAATACTCTGATTGGGAATTTTTTGATTTGTCTTTGAAGGAACAGCTGCCATAAGAGAAACACAAGCTGCTTCTAAGAAGTTTCTTTTCAATTTTATATTTGAATATTTCCATCATATTCGTTAATACCTACAAGAATTGAAATTACATATTAAAAATTATTTATTCGGGCTTAGAATTCTAACCACCCTTTTTATTCTGTAGGAAACCGATGTTTCTTTATCATATCACCCAAACGTGTATACATACATACTTACATAATTAATGTATAACTTATTATACTTGGGCACTATTATTTTAACAGCACACACTTTTTTACTTATTTTGCACATACATTCTAACATTTGCACAATAATATGCACATACACACACTTTAACATAACTATTAACTACATACATACATGTCTATACATAATCAACCAACCATTAAGGAATATTCCTAATAACACACATTCCCAACTTTAAGCGGGGAGTTCTCGTTAATGTCTGTCCATGTCTTTTGTATTCTCTTTCTCAAGCAGACACCGGCTAGTGGCTATCCTGGTGCCATTGATGATTTGATATTCTCCGGGGCCGGTTCGGGTTGTCGGGACGACGATGAAGACGAGTGTACGCCACCGTTCGAATCGAGTGGCGATGATTTGATTACACCCGTCTATGTGCCACCCACCAAACAGACCACCATGCCTCAAAATGTCAGTACGGACAAAACGAATGGCACCGAAAGGGCCTGTGACGACGAAGATTGTATTCATGGCTCGGGTGATTATGGCGAGACCACGGAACAATTTACCTCGACCAGTACGGCTAAGGGAGCAGGTAAGTGGAATAATGGTTGTCGTCAGTGTTGTCGTACAATTTGGTTGTTGTGTCATTTCATTATTTGGCATCTTTCTCATATTCACCACCAAAAAAAAAAAAAAAAAACATATACAGATATATTGGCCAATGTTTTAATGAAATATTTTGTAATATCGTTTTTAAGAAGTTTGAAAGACAATATGTCGGTTCCAGATCTTGCAAGAATGAATACATTTTTAATGTGATGATAACAAGTTGTCATTTACGATATCAAAAAGTATATGTAATAAAAGTTAGTAGATTTTTCTGTTCTGCAACATACCAAAATATGTGCATTTTAATAAATATATTAATATGTGTAAAAACTTTTGGCGAATATACACAGCACACAAGCATTTGTCGACTATTTTATAGGGACGGTAACGGTTATAAGTATAATGAAATCAGTTATAAAATAACAGTTATTTTGTGGTCTAAATAACATTTTCTAACCGGAAGAAATAAAACTTCTGAAATGATTTATATTTTTGACGAAAAAAATAGAAATCCACAAAAAATCGTTTTTAAAAGTTAAAACGTTTATTTTTTGGTTGAAAAGATCACCAAATACTTTTAATGAGCATTTTTTGTTAACATTTTCCAAAAAAAAAAAAAAAACTGTTATTGTCGGTCCCTGTTTAGACAAATATATTCTGTCCGTGTAACACATTAGTATTGTCGAAGTCTTATTGGTTTTGGAAGGTCGTGCGGTTTGGAGTGCCAGCTTTCTTAAACGTTACAGACTCTCCAACAACTACGAATATTTTCGCGAATAAACTAAAATTATATAGATGAGTTAGGAAAGTTGTTCATCCAAATTGGCTGAAATTTAATATTTTGGATTTTTATTGGGTGTTAAATCTCACTGAAAAATATCTGTATCGGTCCCTTTTTGTTATAACCCTTACATAACTAACTATTAAGAATTCCAAACATATTTTTCGAACGTCACGCGTCATAACATGAATTTTCTCCTAGAAGTCCCGATCGATTTTAGGTATTTTGTATGTTCGCCTCATGGCGAAGGACGTTCTTAATTGGCCTTCTTTACGAACGGTTATTCAATATTTTATATATGACACTGACCGATTGTTGACTATTTGAAACTCACATGTCCATCCAAACTCGTAGTAAATTCTTAATATTATAAATATTTCGGACCAAATAAATTTGCCGACATTGTACACGCTTTTGTTTGATGTTATTAAAATTATTTGACTAGACGGTGTTTGACGATTTCGGTTGTTTTTTTACGATGGTGTTTGGGATTTAAAAAAGGTTCGTTCTTAATAATTCGTGCCTGAAATATATAATGAATAGTATATAACTCAGTATTTTCGATGATTATATCAATAATCAGCATTATGTCCTTTCCATTGGTTTTGTTTTGTTTTCCTTGCTTTTTTGTCTAAATCCAATAATATCGACACATCGTTTTCTATTGAATACGTACATCAACTACATTTAACATTTTTACGTATTTGCGAAGGATTTGATTTGTTTGTCTAACATTGTTCATATTTCTTTTAGAGTAGTCGGTCCCTAAGAAGACCCTCCCCAAACTGTTGTATACTCTGGCCCTCGGTGGAGTGCTGTGGAATGCAATTTAAATATTCAATCAACTTCTAAGTGTATATATGTATGTGTGCGGTGTCGCACACAAACAATGAGATATCTTACATCTAGTAACTGGCTTATTTATTGTTGTTCATTCGTTTCGAATGTTAAAAAGCCAAAGTTTCTGTATTCAAATCTGTTCTTTTGTAGATATTTCTCATTGTTCTAAAAAAAACATTGTAGCTCTGAATACAAATTCCTATTCCCCGCCCCTCTCAACGCAAAACAACAAAAAGAACATCTTTCCCAACTGCTTTGTTTCATCCATCATGGCATTATCGTTATCTCTCTCTCTCTTTCATTCATGTCAGCCATGGACACTATCTCAAATTAAACAACAAAAAAATGCTTAAAACAAAACTAAATTTTGAAGAGCATTTATACAGTTGGACTTATCTCTTTCAGAACTAAAACTCTGCTTCATAATTATCCTACTGACCGTGATTGCGCACCGGCTGTCTCAGTAAACCATAGCAAGCCACAAAAATCTAAAGTTAAAGCAAAATCGAAACATAGCACTTGTAGTCCACAAACAAAGTCTGTCAAAACACATCACATTCCAAACACCAAAAGACAAGTAAAGATTAAGTCGTAAATGTCAACCAAAAACGCCACAGCCTCCATGTCCGAGAGCGGGTCAATGTCTGGGGTCGGTCAAATAGAAGTGGCTACTTGTGGGACAAGCAAGCAACCACCACAACTTCCACTACCACAACCACCACCACCACCATATGTGTATTTCGTTTCCCTTTAGTTTCGTTACAGTTAAGGTCATAAGTGTACAACATTAAAGTATTATCTTAGACTATAATCAATGATAACAACAATAAAAACAATTTATTTATTTACTAATTTTGTGTATACAACAACAACAACAATAACAAAAAGAAATAAAACAACACAATCGAAATAAGCCAATAAGAAAACGAATGAGATGCAACGAAAGATAAGCATTAAGAGAATTAAAAACAAAGCAAAACACACACACACACAGAACACCACCACCAAACCAATACAGTAGATCACCGCATGCATGTATGTATGTGTATGTACACATCCACACGATACAAACGGATGTATAGATGTATATAATACATTCATATGTGACTACTTGGCTTTACATTGTACATACATATATAGTTATGTATAAAGCTTAACATAATGATAAAAACAACAACAACAGCATAAAAAGAAAACATATAATTATAGATTATGTATTAATGTGCATACATATGTCTACAAGCAATAATGTTAAAAGTTCCTTGGATTATTCAGTTCAGCAGATATATTTATCTCTATATATATACATATATATTTACATAACAAATGCATATATACATATTTATCTCATTTAACACATATACTTAAATGACAAGTACTACAATATATCTTATATACATTTAAATATATGAAAAAAGAACAAAGCAAACAACAACAACAACAAATGTAGTTAGTTTCAAACAAAAAATATTTACATACATACATAGTACTTATCTAAATCTAAGCCAATATCTTCTAGAAAAACGAGACGACACGAAGGAAAACAAAGAGATAAATCAAACGACATTCGATATGTTCGAATTTTCTATTGAGAATTGGAAATGGGGATTTTGAATTTTTAGATTTTATTTGTTCGTAATTGAATACTTCAATCAATACTCTTAAGATATTTTTTACAAAAATAATTATTATGTAATTATGATGTACGAACTGGTATTGCCTCCACACATTGATGCCTTTCGATTTTAAGAAGACCCTCCATGAATGTAACTTTAAAAAATTAAATTCATACAATTTTACTACTACATATATATCAAAGGTAGGAACTAGAAAAACCCAAAAGGCAAAGATGTATAACATTACCCCTCAAATTTTTTGAGTGTGGTATAATTTGATGTTTTACAAAAAATAGCAATATTGATAACGGTAGCTCCCCACCCCCATTATTCGGTATTTTTTGTGGTTTTAAACGAATTTGTTCTATAAATAAATAATAATTTTGGGCTATTACACTTATTTTACATGCCCATCCAAAAGTAACGACGTTTTTACTTGTTTTATAGTTTTATTTATAACAACATTGAAACATGTTTGATTTTGGAGGTCCAATCATTTATTAAATTGGCTGTAAATTGTAAATGTGGTTTTTATTCTATAAAATATATTCTCTAAAAAGATTTCAAGGTATACCCCATACAATTATACCGGATTTGAAATTTCATACTGTTAGTAAGGGTAACATTTTCCGTAGTACTACGTTTACAGATCCGTTAACCGGTTTTTACATGATTCAAATAAATCGGAATTGTAGGGTTATTGTCTTATACTTGTCAACAAATCCTGGAGAACTAAAAACTATATCCAGTAAATAAAATTTTATACAAATCCATAAATTTTTAACGACAATTGATAATTTTTGCATGTCGAATGTCTTGATTTATCTCTTCAGTGGCACTACAAAAAAAAACTCTGTTTTATTTTCGAATGACTTAAATTTTATCAAGGAAATGGAAGACAAATAATGAAAAATGAAATTATTAGACAACAAAAAATATTATAGCAACATTCATGTGCAGTACAAAATTCAAGTACAGGAATCGTATCGAATCGAATAGAATAAGACGCGTAAATACACATGTACCTATATACGATATAATCAGAAGTAGTTAGGCAACAGATAGTTGAACCATTAGTCCATGTACAGATTGATGGCTTAGAATATGCAAGCAAATGTACCGTTATATATACACACACAACCACACATATTTACAAACAGAGATAAATTAGATATGAATTGTTGAAAAGAAATGCTCTTTGTGTTCCATTTATTGATGATCTCAAAACAAAATATTTAAGATAATTAAAACAATTTTAATTGCCATTCATTACACGTTGAAAATGTGGAAAGAAGATTATCATTAATATTTTATCGCAGAATCTTTTGATCTTTACTCTAGCTATTATAAAAATAAATTAATCTATTAAGAAAAAACGAAAACAACAGAATGTAATTCCATATCAGATGAATTGTATGCTGAAATATGTGTGTGTGTGCCTGGGAAAATATTTCATTTCAGCTCAACTAAAAATTTACTTGATATCCATCGGTCTTTGGACTTTCGTGTTTGAACATGTTTAGGAATGCATATTGGGCAAAATGTATTAAAAGAAAGAAAACTGAATTCTGAAACAAAATCAATTTCAACAAAACTAATTTATTCACTTCAAAATTATTTATTTATTCAAATTAATAAATATTGGCGGTGTAGAAGCGGTAACAATGAATGGTAACTTTTTAAAACCCAACATTAATAAAACGAAAATAGTAATACATACATCTGATATGAATTATAAATTATAAATGAGCGATTAAAATAAAAACATGTCATAATAATTTTGTTAAAATATATAAATAAAGGCAGTGGCAAAGTGGTCGCGTTGAGTCCTACGTTCCGTTTTTTGTTATCGACAATACAACAACAGCATCGTGCCATATTAATGTTATCGTCAATATTTTGTTGTAGTTGTATTAATCGTAGTAATTAACGCAACGGAAGGCTGAACGCGACCATTGTGCCCGGGGCCCTAACTTAACTTAGGCTAGGTTGCGTATGATTGACAAACGAATAGTGTACATCACTCATACGCAACGATGGATGGTTCTTTTATTTAATCGCTCAAACTACATACTTCTTTCAACTCGTTTTCTAAACAAGAACAAACTTTCAATGTTGCATACCTTCAGTTCTTGTAAATAATTCATTTGTATTGTTTGCAGTCATGTTTAAGCATTTTATGTAAAATAAAATAAAAAAACAATTAACAATAAAATTATTAACATTTAAATTTGAATTTCAATAAAATATGGTTTCGACTTTTATAGTTATATAAATCCACAGTACTACTATGATATCCTAGGGCCGTTTTACAAAATACAATTTCTTCTGGTGAAATAACCTAGAAAAATCCAGCCCAATATAAGGAAGATAAATCCAAAAATTAAAAAATAATTATAATGCAATTTGTTGAATTTTTATAAATTGCAATAACAAAACGATTTAAAAGATGTTGACTGACACAGACATTATTATGAATATGAATAATATCAAGCCTTTAAGTCACATATCACGCCTTTAAGCTACATATTGTAAATGTACATGTTCCAAAGGCAATCCATTTTTAAAGATAATTTTTGGCATTTGTGTATAATGTTTAAATCGTTAGTTTATCGAAATAACTCATTTCGATACTTTTTTTGGAACAAAGAATACCAAAATTAAAGAATTTTCTGATTTTGTTGGATTTATTTTCCCTAATATTGGAATTTTATTTTTAGAGACCATTTTTTCTTCGACCATAACTCATGAAACATTAACATAATTCGCAGTTACATATATAGCATTTCCACATTAAATGAACCCTTTTCCAAATTAAATGAAACCTTTTCCAATTGAAATGAAACCTTTTACAAATAGAATGAAACCATTTCCAATTGAAATGAAACCTTTTACAAATAGAATGAAACTTTTTCCAAATTAAATGAAACCTTTATTCTTATCTAAGGAAATATAGTATTTGCAGTAATTTTAAACCAATATTTGAAAATTAAATCAAAGAATATTAACAAATATAGTTGTATGGCTATGTAATTAACATAAATATTCTTTAATTTGGTGTGATTTCATTTAATATCTTTACTACATAAAACTAAATAAATAGTAATACAAACTGGGGTATTTCTTGACATTTTAATAAATAAATATTTAAGAACAAGAATTGAATACCCGGTCCTAAATGCGAAATACACATTTGACTTAATAAATTGTTGATGATAAGTTAACTGCTTATCTTAATGAAGGGGTTCCCGACTTGCAGCTTGTGGGATTTTCAAAACCATGTCCATAACGTAGTTAGAACAATCTTGCCGAGTAAGCTTTTGAATACTTCGCTCGATTACATCAACAATGTTATGTTCCATTGAAACGTCACACAGCTCATCTCTTGCACATATTTTTATTTTTGAAAATGCATTTTCAATTAGATTTAGCATTGGAGAATAAAGCGGTAAGAATTTAAGGTTGCATCTTTTGGATTCGATCAAATTTTTTATGTCATGTCGCTTGTGTATTTGAGCGTTATTTTCCAACTCTGGATTGATTTTCTCAAAAAACAAAAAAGAAATCTATAAATAATTTAAATCTGTCTGCATTGACACTGGAATTAGAAACGATTGTGTGATGTACAACTCCCGCCTTGTTTATTGCTGCAATTATAGTGACATGACGACCTCTGACCGTAGGCAACACAATGTGTGCTCTTGTTCCTTGTCTTGAACGGGCTTGGGTTCTTCGTATGTGAAGATTAAATCCACACTCATCAATGAATATTAATTTTTACCTTGTTGGGGTATCCATTTTGTAAAGTCTTGACCATATTTTTGTCTCAAGCCTAATGTTCTGAAGTCATTCTTTCGTTCTATTTCAATAGAGGCCATCTTAAACGTAATTTTTAATTTCCGTAATCCATATTCTATGCAGCTTGTGAAATATTTATTTCATTTTCTCTCAACAGTTTAGTTTTTATGGCTTTGAGGGTAATTCCAGGTTGACTTTCCATATAGAACTCGATCAGACTTAAAACTTGTGGTGTCAACAACTTAGTTCTATTTCCTCCACGCTTATTTTCCTTCAATGTTCCACAATTTTGTTTGTATCTTCTTATAAATGTTTTTTTCGGAATTTATTTTTATGCAGGTAAAATTTGCAGCCTCGGAAATGATTCTCCCCTCTTCATAGAATTTAAATAATAATTTCATGTATTTTGTTATTTTGTTATACTGACCCAATTTGTTTCGGGGTCTTGTAGATGTAGCTTCGGTAGGTTCTGGAGCATTTCCACTTGCAATACTTGGCGAGGATATTGATTCTTCCTCAGGTTCCCAATTATCAGAGCTTCCCGAGCTAAAATCAGGTTCGCATTTATTTTAAACGTTGCTATTTTTAAATACAGTGAACTCTCGATAATGTGAACATCCAAAACAGTGAACTCTCTACAATGTGAAGTAATTACAAACAAAATTGTGTAACATTGAAGGAAAATAAGCGTGGAGAAAATAGAACTAAGTTGTTGACACCACAAGTTTTAAGTCTGATCGAGTTCTATATGGAAAGTCAACCTGGAATTACCCTCAAAGCCATAAAAACTAAACTGTTGAGAGAAAATGAAATAAATATTTCACAAGCTGCATAGAATATGGATTGCGGAAATTAAAAATTACGTTTAAGATGGCCTCTATTGAAATAGAACGAAAGAATGACTTCAGAACATTAGGCTTGAGACAAAAATATGCTCAAGACTTTACAAAATGGATACCCCAACAAGGTAAAAATTAATATTCATTGATGAGTGTGGATTTAATCTTCACATACGAAGAACCCAAACCCGGTCAAGACAAGGAACAAGAGCACACATTGTGTTGCCTACGGTCAGAGGTCGTCATGTCACTATAATTGCAGCAATAAACAAGGCGGGAGTTGTACATCACACAATCGTTTCTAATTCCAGTGTCAATGCAGACAGATTTAAATTATTTATAGACATTTTTTTGAGAAAATCAATCCAGAGTTGGAAAATAACGCTCAAATACACAAGCGACATGACATAAAAAATTTGATCGAATCCAAGAGATGAGCTGCAACCTTAAATTCTTACCGCTTTATTCTCCAATGCTAAATCCAATTGAAAATGCATTTTCAAAAATAAAAATATGTGCAAGAGATGAGCTGCGTGACGTTTCAATGGAACATAACATTGTTGATGTAATCGAGCGAAGTATTCAAAAGCTTACTCGGCAAGATTGTTCTAACTACGTTATGGACATGGTTTTGAAAATCCCACAAGCTGCAAGTCGGGAACCCCTTCATTAAGATAAGCAGTTACCTTATCATCAACAATTTATTAAGTCAAATATGTATTTCGCATTTAGGACCGGAAATAACCCAGTTTGTATTACTATTTATTTAGTTTTATGTAGTAAAGATATTAAATGAAATCACACCGAATTAAAGAATATTTATGTTAATTACATAGCCATACAACTATATTTGTTAATATTCTTTGATTTAATTTTCAAATATTGGTTTAAAATTACTGCAAATATTATATTTCCTTAGATAAGAATAAAGGTTTCATTTAATTTGGAAAAAGTTTCATTCTATTTGTAAAAGGTTTCATTTCAATTGGAAAAGGTTTCATTCTATTTGTAAAAGGTTTCATTTCAATTGGAAAAGGTTTCATTTAATTTGGAAAAGGGTTCATTTAATTTGGAAAAGGTTTCATTTAATTTGGAAAAGGTTTCATTTAATTTGGAAAAGGGTTCATTTAATTTGTAAAAGGTTTCATTTAATGTGGAAATGCTATATCTAGTTACATATATTTGGTGCTAATCTAAGTGCCATTGGTAGTTTTATTTTTTTTAGTTTAATTTACCATTACTACATCAATCATTGCATTCTATTCCATTGAATTTTTTTCGTGAATCTTAAATTGATTTGCATTTTTTATTCCCATCTTCCCCATTACAGAAACACACAGTGAAGTGACCACCGATAGCGTTACGCGTAGACAAGATTCAACTACCGAACAACAGACCACAACTACAGTGGCCCAGACAACACCACAACAGACGACAGCTCTAAGCACTGTTGTGACCACAAGTCAAACGTCGCCACCAACAACCGTCCTTACCACATCGACACAGCGCACAACTAGCACCAGCACAACTACAACAACGACCACCACCACTACGACAACGGCAGCTACACCCATTCCCGAAATACGTACCACTGCAACGGAACGCGATACAACCACCTATGACGTGGTGCACATCTTCAAGTCCGACGACAAGAGCGAAAGTTCGAATATGATCTACCCGCAGATACCCGAAGATCGTTTGCCACCCCCACCGCCGCCACCACCCATACACGACAATGATGGACTGCCCTATTTCCCCCTGCCGCCCCAGACCCCACCCTACGGCAATAACAATTATCGACCCAAGGGAAAGGGCGGTCGCATCAACTCCATTGAAGAGGAACGCACAGCCATGATCATTGGCATTGTGGCGGGTATCCTGATCGCTGTAATTTTAGTTATTTTACTGGTTTTATGGTTAAAATCCAATGGGGATCGTAACTATAAAACTGCTGGTGAAAAAACTATTTACGGTACGCATAATCCTAATGCCTCCCTACTGGGCAACACGAGCACCAATGGCTCCTACCATCAGCAGCGTCAGCAATCGTCCACCACCAACACCACCAATCACTTGCAAACGACGCAGGATGCACGTTCGCGTTCTCACTCGGGCATTGCCATGCGCAACAATGGCAACGCTGACATGTGCGGACGATCGCAGCCGATGCGAGTCGAGCGTGTCTATCACGACTCGACGGATCATAGCGAAGGCGAAGATCGTCCCGGTCTAGTGAAAACGAAAAAACGTGACTCCAAAGATGTCAAAGAGTGGTATGTGTAAATATGTCACTGTCACTCGCCCACACTCTTTCCCACTCGCTCTATCTGTCTCTGTCTCTCTGTGTGCGTAGTGCAAGCGAATGAACAACTAATGTCAAATTAGCAATAACAAACAAAACCCCTAGAACAAAACAAACTTTAGTCAAAATGAAATCGAATGAAATGAAGCGAGAAATCCATCACACAGATGTACAACACAATACTATGTTCGTATGTATAAGTGAGTGCCCTTGTTGTCCAATAAAATAGTAAAACGAGGGTTGGGTAAACAGTTGATATTTAGCGTCATACATAAAACTACCAAAGGTAATACATACAAACATACACGTATATAAGTATATAGTATATACATACATTTAGCCTAGTTTATTTAGAGAAAAAGGCCCAAACAAACAAACAAACAATAATAACAACAAACAAAAACAATGCTGGCAGAAGCTACAAAATCCATGGAAAACAAACAAAACCAAATAAAATCAGTTAATGTACAAATAATTCATTAAGATGCAATGAAAATGATAATAATTGGCATGTATTTCATCGCATTTGAAAATGTCACCGAGCTTTAACTGAAAAACAAACGAAAATGAAAAACAAAATCAAGGAATATTAATGGCCAACTAACTGACTACCACCACAGACATCTAGACATACACCAATACCAAATTATGGATCAGTATTTGTAGAGCAGCAATCAAACGAATGTTCCTTCCCTATTCTACAATACGATGTTGTTGTGTCGTTGTTGGAGCTATTTTTTTTTTGTTTTAAGACAAACACCAAACAAAATAGTGTAACAAAAAGAAATAAAAAACAAAACAAACATTTTCAATTTGATGAGATACATGCCAAAATCCGATTAGAATTTCGTTTATTTTATTTTGTTAATACCTACATATAAATAAATATACATACAAAGAAAACATAACATATACACATATAGCATCAATTCTAATCAATTATGTGTAAACAATGGATATATCTAATTAGACAACAAAACGAAAAAAGGAAACAAAAATAGTAGAAACAAAATCAAGAAAAATTGCGGAGAGAGAATGGAAAATGGTATTTAATGATTGAGAAGAAAAAGGAACACAAATATTCTTAAAATAAGAGATATTTTTCTTGATTTCTCATTTAGATTCTGAAATTGAAAGTATTAAATGTACTAAATGTATAGGACCAAATAATTGTTGAAAGTTTAAAAATTGTGCAAAGTAATTTCCTCGTTGTCGATTCGTCACGTTTGTTGTGTATTTAAAATACGTTAACGTTCAGTTTTTCGATTTGTTTCAAGGTTATTTGAATATCATTCGATTTTTCTCTCCATCTCTAAAAACAATTATACGTCAAGGATACCAAAACTTTATATGACATCTAAAACTAATGCTAAACCAATAGAAAATGATTACTTTAGATAGCTTTTAGACTTCGTCGATAACTCCCGAAACAAAATGTAATCTGAACACACATACACCCAAACAAACATAACCATGTTCACAATTGTAACTTTCCCCGTACAAATGATTGAAAAAAGAAAAGAAAAACCAAACAAAAAGATAAACCACTTCGAATGTTAGCCATAGAGGGAATTTCAATTAACGATGAATGTGAATAAAAGAACGAAAGAGAACTATAGAAAAGAGAAACAACAGTACTTTAAGACTTTGTGCCATAGTAATTTAAGGAATGAACAGCTAGGTTTAGATCGGATTTGTTTTTATTTGTTGTTTGGTACTTGCATCCGTGCGCTGTAAAGTCCTCGTGTAGGCGAACGTGAATGTAGATAACGTGGGCGATTAGTTAGATGCCATTGTAATATACAATTATTCCAAAGAAACGAATTACAATATACATATATTAACCTAAATCCATAAATATATATATAAGGTATATATATACATACAATCTTACACATACATGTGTACATATCTTTATATGTATGTCTATTGAAATTAAAAAAAAACATATGAATAACTAAAACAATTAGAAATGCTTTAATTCCATGAATGTATACGAACACACGTTCGAACGGCGAGTGCTTCGTTGCCACAGTGGTACTCTCTCACTCTCTCATACAAGTGACAATAGAGAAGTAGTGACATTTTAGCAAACCCATGAGAGAAAGAGAGCACATGTAACATGATAAGGTGTAAAATATTTAAGAAATATGCAAATGTAAGTCGTCCCCCCCTCCTCCTCCTCCTCCTCCCCTCGTACCATGAAATGTGTAATGTTTTAGCAAGTTAGTCCTATTTTTATTTTGTCAGAAATAATTATGAAATGCCGACACAATATAGGAGGAGATTTGTTGATTGTTTTTTCCGTTTGTTGTTAGGAAGTAAAAATGCTGGAAAGGAAGTGGTTTTCTTTACAAAACTTAAAATAGTAATAATAAAAAAAATAAAAACATCTAGGAAAAGATAAAATCTTTAGAAATATACTAAAAACAAAAGAAAAACAATATTACGCTAAATCTTCATTTAATTTAATATTAAAAACATGACCTGAAAGGGTTAATGTTCAGCACACAGATACACACATGTAATACTCTCTCACATAATATCTAAACATACACACATATATACTTAAGAATTTTTGCATAATATCCTTAATTTTAGATTCTTAATTTTCCCCTCTCTTTGAACTTTAACCGTTATTGTAAAATTTACTTAAAACAACAAGGTGCTGTAATCTATTAAAGAAAAACAAAAACAATTAACTAAATAAAGGACACTATTAACTAATTATACAAAAAAAGGAAAATACCCCATTCAGTGTATTAAAAAAAACAAAGAACTAAAAACCAACAATTCAAGAGCCGAAAAAATCCTATTATTAAATTTCATTAAACTATTTAAGAATTAAATTATAACAAAAACAACAACTTCTAAAATATACGATTATATACACAAGCAGACACACATACACACCCACAATTATATACATAATTAATACGTATAGAAATATTTAATAATATACATTTATTACTTACAACCAAAAGATATATAAGGGCTTTAAATTATTTCTAAGTAAAAGAGACAAAAACAAAAAAAAAAAAAAATAAAATCTCTTTTCGTTTTTGGAAGCTTAATTTATAAATAGAAAAAAAAATTATATATAAAAACAACAGCAACTGGCTACAAAACTTCTAAATACTCTACAAAATGTTAATCAAATACCCGCAACAAACAGCAACAACAAAACAATCCAAGAAAGTGCAGCTCAAGGAAGTTTTCAAAATTTTTCGAAATTGCTTAAGAAGCCAAAAAAAGAAACAATTACAAAAACACCCACACAGTTTTGCAGTTGATAATTATTGACCAGTTGGGGTAATATTTTCAGATTTTATTTTTCGATTTACTATTAGCATAAGTTTTCGAATAAGCTGATACATTAGATTACAAATTAGTAAAGCCTAACATAAAGGCATTTTAAGTGGTTTTTCATTCAAACCATTTCTACTTCCCCACAGTATTTGGTCATTAACAATTTATTTTCACTAAGCAATGCTACGAAAATCAATTCATTTGCTACATTTCTAGCCGCAAATTCCCAATTTGAGTTGCATTTCTCTTACCAATCGAAAATAAACAACAAAACAAAAATAATTTTTGGCATATTTTTTAAGACTTGGATACAACAAAATACTTTGAATAAAATTTTTCGCATACATATGTCACAAAAAGACTTATGGAATTTTTTTTGTAAAAAAACTGAAACATATCAATATTGATTAAATAAAACAAAAACAACAAAAAAATAATTTAAAAACAAAAAAAAAAACACTTTTTGTTTATATACAACAGCATTTGAGATATACAATTTTTTATAAACTTTATTTTTTTGTATTACTGAATGCTTTTTTTGTATACACTCAAATATATCTCAAAAAATCAAAAGGAATAAATTGCTAATTTTGTTTTTGACAATACACATCTAAATACAAAACAAAAGCAAACACATAAAATAATAAAATGAAATCTATTAAATCCAATCTGGCATACAATTTTATTATTTATTTCAAAATTAATTCCAATATATTACACACACATATATACAATGTTAAAGCTGCACAAGGAACTTTTTGCATTTATAAACAGTAAAACCACAACAACAAAAATATTATCCCAAATACTCCTAACCACTAGTATTTTTTTGTTTGTTTGTTTCGCTTTCAATACACACCAACATTTTTCCAAAAGAAACGAAAACAAAAGGGTTGTGCGATTGATATTAAACAGTAAGGAAATTGGAGTGTAGATGTAGACACGTATCAGTATATTGAATATTTCTAAGCTGACCATTTATAAATTACAAATAATACAATGATCATACAGTATTTTATATTGAAACAAATTATCAAAGCAGACAACTATTGGGAACAAGTTTTGTTTTTTAATCCATAGAATTGTTTTTTTTTTCTGTTTTCTTTTTCAATATTCTTCATTTACGGGGAAATGTTCTTTATTATGTTCTTATTACAAACATTTAGATTAACAAATATAATTTATAAACATATGAATTCGTTATGGTTGACTATATGTTAAATACGCTTCAAACCATCATACATGTATCGATATCGATTTTTAAATAATTGTTTTGCAAATATGATTCGTTCGTGGAAGTAATATATGCTGAGAGTAATATTATATCTAAATTCCTTGCAATTTAAAATAAGGTAAAAAATATAAATAGATTTCATATTCTATTTTTAAAATTCAAAAACAATAAAACAGGAACACGACGAATATTCGAGTGTGATTAAGTCAGTTCCATTATTTTTTAAATATCAAAACTTGTAAAAGAGACAAAGTACGGAAACTACAAAACATTCATTTAAAGGGACCCCCCACTCTCGGTGTCAGAAAATTTAATTTAGTTTTTTTTGATTTAATTCGAATCTACACTAATTCAAGAATATCCCTACAAAATTTCAAGTCAAAATCTCAACAACCCTTGAAGATTCTCAAACTTTAAACGCATTATTCTCGAAGCTGTGTTTTTACGAGTGGCGGGCACGATAACTCAAAAACTAATAATCCAATCGGTTCCAAATT